CCCCCTCCATCATGTCGCCCCATCTCTCTCGGTCCGTTCTCTCTCTCGCCCGACATTCTCCTCCGCCCCACCTCTCTCTCTCTCTTCTCGCTCACTCCTCCGGTGGCGGCGGCGTAGTTCTGGCGCCAAGTCGGTGTAATTTGAATGCAGGTGATGGTGGCGGAGGCTCATTATTTTGCCACGCCTGCCTCTACGTCCGTAACGTGCCAGGCCCTTTGCATCGCGATAGAGAGAGAGAGAGAGAGAGAGCGAGCAGAGAATGCTGACAAGAGAGGATGATAATTTGTCTACATTAATGACAAGGCATCCCTTCGCGCAGGGCTACATTCAGACTGCAATCCGAGAATAGCCCCGCTTTGTCAATTTGAACGCGCTTTTGCCACCATGTAGGCTTGTTGTGTTTTTCAATTTCTACTTTGCTTCCTTTGCCTGTGTATCTTTTGCCTCCTTTGCGGATGTAACCTGGAGCGGGGCCCGGCGGCCCCTGCACGGCTCCTGTCGTGCCGTGCGCTTGCTCGCAGCAGGACCATACCCCCGCCTCATGCAAAGGGTCATGCGGAGGCCATGTGTTATACGCCCGAGTTATGTGTAGGGCCACCGGAGCGTTTTGGAGACCTTCCTTCCCTCCCCGTGAGGCCGCAAGGCGCTCCCCAGCCTGCGACTCAGGTGGACATATCATCTCTCTGCTATGCGCTTAGAAAAAAAGAAAGAAAGAAATATAGTGTACCCGTCAGTGCATTATGAAAAATGTAATTTTTGTCAATTGACCACATTTTTTTGTGGAATGTGGAATGGTGTAGGACATTTTTTGATCCTACAAAGTTTACAATATGACGAGAGTTGTTTATGTGAATTTTTTAAAGTTTTTGTGCCTGGTGGAGTATTTTGGCAAACTAAAAACGGGAAGTATAAACTCAACAATTTTGCACTAACTTGTTGTTATTTCCAGGAACGGGCCGCACATATTTACCTGTGCGCTGCTGGACTTTTAAGTTTAACAGCTCGCAGGCCCGGCGAGGGCTTAGTTGCCCTCCTCCCCCCCATCAGCCACCAAATCTGGTTCTAAAAGACTGCCGAACTATAAGCCCCGGCAATTTAATAACCCCCTCATCGCGCGTCCTCCAGCGCGCTGTTCACGAGAGTGTACCGCGACGAATAATCAACTTTCCAGCCGGGCCGGTCCCTCGACCGCGATGGAGGGGGGG